GAGACACAGTTCATATGGACAAGACACGATCTGCCCGCATTGACCATCAGCGCACTAGCCTATTCAGTAATGGAAATAAAAGCGCGACAATAGGAGAGAAACACTGTCGTTCAATCTGACCTAAGCAATGCTTTATTAGAACAATGTATAAAGTCGGTACTTAACAGTTACCACTTAGGTTCAGACAGACAACAATAGGACACCGTTAGAGCGATGTTTGTGAGGCGTAGCTTATTCGTTACATTGCTGTCCAATTTGCACTGCAGTGAACATACCTCAAACGTTTTAGTGAGGGTTTAAGCTACCTTGCTAATTTTTCCGGTGCCGCCATAATTTGGAACTCCTATTAGGGACGCAGTTGAGCTATCATTGCTGTATCAAGACTCCTTGCTAGACCGAAGCACTTTCCTATGGCGCGGAAGCCGTCTCCTACAAGTCCTACACTCAGAAGCTTCCCAGAACTAAAATCAGCGATACCGACGAACCCTTACAAAACCAGTTTGAGCTCAGTTATGCGATCACTTGAAGTAAACTGTAGATAGCCATATCTTCAACTAGTCCCAAACCTGATAAAGTGAGATCCATTATCCTCCATCTCCGTAGTTTCGAGAAAGGAAATCCAAGAGATTCGGCTAAGGATGAGAGCATTGCTGCTTTTTCTGCTACTAACCGCCGCTTGGTTTGCGAACTGCAAAACCTATCGTTATTTGAAAGAAGCGAAGAGAGCTGACTATAAGAACCTGCGCATTGATTTGTCGCGCAGCCAAGTGGCATCCGAGTGCTTTGCTCAGCGACCATCAACCTCGAATCTCATGAAAGTGGCGACCACTAAAGATTAAATCTTTAAAGCACAAGGTCTGGAGATTCTGGGGCCAAAACTTGTCTTCTCCCCGGAGAAGAAAAATGCAGTAGTGCGCAAGCGGAAGCATGTACTCGGCCTTTGCGATCATTTGACAAGGAGGAGGCTCTATGGCCCTAAGATGTAACATTGACCCCGCCCCACACCACTGACCCCACCCACAAGTCAGTACTATTTCCTTCCGCCGGAACAAGAGATGGGTGCTTTACTTTTCGTTATTTCTCGACGATTCCTATTTTTATTTTTTCTACTGGTCTCTCGGCACTTTAATCTCCGCATTCGCTTGCAAGGCCAATTAATGCTTATGTTGGATCCCGGACTTTGCCTTCAGGGCGAGCTCAACAACACGGGCCATTTTCCAAACGTGTCATTGTCATATGTCATTTTCGACCTGTCGTCTCTCTGAGACATCACTTGCCTCTGAAAGGGGCAGTAGTGTGCAAAGGGAGCGAACAACTGAGAGACTCGAGCACACCTCAAATGTCGGGCCACGCCTCGAACTCCCCTACGGCACCTCAATCGGGCGACCCCGAACGTGCCAGAGACTATCATTTTGGAAGAACGCTCACAGAACAATACCCACAAAACTTACAGGCTGGTTCTTTGAGCCTTTTTTAGCAGGGCAAGAAAACAGCCTCTTGACATGACTCTTTTCACTCCGAAAATGCCCGGCCACCCAATCGCTTTACGTTTTCTTGTCCCTACCTTGAAAAACAGTACAAATCGACCCCGTCAAAACGGCATCAATATTTCATATTGCAAGAAATAACGGAACATTTGTCACAAATCATCGGCAACGCTGAGGAATCCGCTCTGGCCGCGCACTGTGCCTCATACATCACAGTTGACCCAAAATGGCTGGCGTGCATTTTTCTTTTTTTTTGCCGAGTTTCGAAGGAAAACATCGTTAGCGAAGCGATAATCGTACAGTTTTTCTTGCGGGAACCAAACTGTCCTTCAGGTCACGTCCGCGAATTCCCAGTTCCCTGCTTCCCAAGGTCCATCGACTAAAAACGTCGGGCGCCCACATGACGTCTGCAGCGAAATGTTTCGTTGGTGCGGTGCTATCGGCCTCACCACATCCTCCCGTCCCGGGGCCCTCACCTCCTGCCAACGGGATTGCCTACGACAGCCCGCCCGCGCTGGATCTGTAATAATTGCTTCTCAATGAGTCACGTTCAACCTTAGAGACTTCCAGATTTAATACGAGAATGACAGAAAGCTCGCTTAAGTAAGGATTTTTTGTTCGAGCCGTGCAGTCGATAGCGCCAAAAAAGCGCGCCGTGCCGACCAACCGATTAGTGCATCCTATTTTGCTCTCCCTCTGAGGCAGAGCTCCTCAGAAACATTTGCTTTACTGATGGTTATCTAGTTTTGTATCCCAAAGGATCGGGACTGTTTCCAACCACAAACGAAAAATTTTTTCAAGAGTGGACCCCATGGTTTTGTTCTGGCGAGTACGAAAAAAAAGAGAAATCATCGGCGGAACTTCGACGAGCACTTTTGGACCAGCTACTGTTATCATACGCCCTAAAACACCAGAAGGATTGTAGGAGCTTAGCTAGTCGGAGAGGGACTAAGTCAGGGGACTGTGAAATGCCACTAACTTTGGCATTTTCATGGAGTATGATTTGGCCACGGATTCTCAGGAAGGGAGTATTTAATTCCCTCTACTCCGGGTCCGGTAAAGTATTTTGAGCCCGCGCCCGCGCCCCCCCGCCCGGTCGGAAGCCGCTGATTTACTTATTAGCATCGAATAGCCGTCACGCTATAGTAGCTCGGGTGTTCGAACTAGACACAGCCCGGCCTTATATCACTCACACGGCATTGCTTTCTTAATCTTTGTTCGAGCTGAAATCGCTTCCAAATGCCCAGTGGGCTCGACCGCACCGCAGGTCGAACCCTCCATGGCCGTACCCAGTGCCATACCCCGTCTATAGCAGCTGCAAAATAACCGATCCATCGACTAAGTTACTGAGGGTCGACATGGAGTTTCATTAGGCTACGCAGCTACGTCAGCCACATCGGTGATACTATCGGAGCGTCAGCCAGTCAGTCACCAGCAGTTGACCTTGAGGTCACCAAATTCCGTGGGGTTTTCGACGAGCAACACTGGGCAAGAAAACAGTCTACCAACAACAGCAATCACCTACTGCATGTTTTTTTCTTTCGCTACAAAATTGCTTGGTAGCAGTTTGTCATAAAATGCGATCGCATAGGTCCGCGTGAACGCTCGTTGAACTCGATAATGGTCACATAGACTGTATTTTTGAACATCACGCTTTTATAGAGTCTTGTCTTTGGTCATAAATTCTGTTTAAGGTAAAATTGGACGAGGAGTCTCGAATTATCGTGGGACCGGTTTTCATGTGCTCCTCAATTCAACACAACAAAAAAACACGTAAAGGTTGCACAGATAATGTGGTGAATTACCGCCTAGAAATCGTTTTTTCGGGAGCAGTTGAAAATAGTTGCTGATGGTTTGCGATGGTTGTCAAGTAAAATGGTGGGTAGGGTTAAATTGAGATCGACAAAATCAACCATTTTTATATTTTGTTAGAGAAAGACAATTTAGGTGTCATAAAACCCTTCGGATGCAAAATGTACCTGCAGAATGAGGAGAACTTATGATGAACTATTTGCTCATTTATTCCGAGTCCATAGGTTCAATTTACAAAACTAGCAAGGAAAATTCCAGTCAACACGTCCTTCCAATCGACCGCGAAATGCCAGCCGGTCGACATGCACACGGCTCATCCTCATGTGCCATACTGCTTGGTGACGTAATCACTCAGCAGGCCGTCAGAGTAGGACAACCACTATTCACTGATTCCTCTCTGCCTTTATGATGCTTGGCTCTTCATGTCCTTCCGTTCACCCCACAAATGTTCTCAATGAGAAATGCACGGCTTACACTGAAAGCATTATCAGTCCGGAATTACATCATCGTTTACTTTCACTTTGAGATGACAGCGAATACAATTTTGTCCTTTTTTGACGCGTCTTCATCCTTCCAATCAGCTCTGCAATACTGACTCGTTATCAGGTACGTGGCGTATCCCGATTCGGTGATTTGCTTTAAGCACCTTTTTATAATCGACCATTATTGAAGGGTAGCGCATTACGATATCTATCACTGTTCGATTCCCAATGTGCAATCTTCTTTTCCTTTTAAATTTGCAATGGAATTGTGACCATTGTTCAAGAGCACTGCTTAACCCAATGGAGGCTATTTGGGTTATAAATGGGATAATGGCCCACGAGGGGGTCGTATTCGAGGAGAAATCAATACGAGAAGTTGCTTTCCCTGAGAAACTACCTAGTAAATCAATAAGTTCCGAACGAGGTTACCGTGAGATGCTTCAGCACTAGCCGTGTTTTCATACAAGGGACAGTTGCGCTGGCCTTGAACTCGGCCGACACCCCACGGCTTAGTGGCATTGTCATCTGTGACCTCTCGTTGCATGCCATAGTTTTTTCTCGCCGCTCCTTAGTAATCTCCATTCCACCCGAGATTCTCACACGGGGGTCATCACAAAGACGATTTTTTACTCCTTATGAATCGCGACGTCGTCGTTAATGTTTGCCTAGCTGTGTGTTTGTCCGTCTTCGTTCTTACACAGGTAATATGTAAGTTAACGGTGTTTAGCGCCGAACTATTGCTGGACTATCTTATGCCCTCTCATCTGTGGGCAACTGTGCCTATTCGCGAGGCGATTTCATGCAGTCAGCTCCCGGCAAGTACGTTGATTGATCGAGTCTCCCACACCTAAATACATGATCTCATAATTAAACATCCCCAGTGACCTCGGTACCTTGAGACATAGAGCTTCGAGCCTTAGGGACTACCTCAGATATAGTACATTTCTAGAATGAACAAAGTAAGTTGCAGAGCATCTAGGTATAAGATAGCAACAACCACAATTCTCATACCGCCCTCCCTTCCCCTATCGCCTAAAGGCCCTGGCCGTTTCAACAATACTGATGTTCTGTGCGCTTTCGAATGTGTTGCCACTAAAATGCCCCCTATTTTGCGATAGCGTTAGCAGTTGGCCCTTTAGATTCTTTTTTTCATAAAATTGCCCCGTATTATTTTTGAGGTCCTCTTAAGTGACCCGCTAATTTTGGAGTTCTTTCAGACATGCAAACCACCTGCATGATGATCCAAGAATGGGATTCGAATGCCCGGAAAGCCATTCGAAGACGTCAAGCATTTGAAAGCAACATAGGTAAGTCAAGGGACATTTTTCACCCTCTACTGGCTCCAGCGAAGTTTAACCGTATTCAGGAGCACCTGGTATTCCGGGAAATCCGAATTTCAGTCCCGCTGTACCGCAACGATTCGCCCCGTCGGCACAAGGCTGTATGAACATTCAGTGCATCTGCCCGTATATGGGGGTGAGTCCGATTAGCACAAGTTATTCTAATTCAAATTATCTTTCGAAGAATCTTTTTCGTGTTCGATCTCGTTCGCTAGCCTATTCTGAAGGCTTTTTAAAATATAATATCAAACGGTGCAGTAAGGAAATTTCCTTGAAATTTGAAAGCTTAAGGGGATTCCTTGCTCATGGGGATAGAAACTTTACCCACACTAATCGAATGTTCTTTTGAGTCACAAGGTGACAATCTCGAATAGCAGAAAAACTGACTGTAGAGATCTTGATTTCTTCTTAACTGCATATTTTTTCAATGTCGACGAATTTTTCTTTCCTCACTGAGACGACTCTCCTGAAATAGGAATGTGTACCACTAGCTATATTGAGCTAGGTGAAGTAATATTACACCTCAAAAATCCCTTCATGTGGGCCCAAAACTTCTCAAAACACTTGCTTGTACACATAGACATTTAGGCTTCTTAGGGTTGTCCTTTCGCCCCAAGAGCTTCTTAAAGACAAAAAAAAACTTAAAGTATCATTGTCCGGAAAAGCCTGCTATCATATTGTATCGTACTATGCAATATTTTATACCAAATGATTGGAAATTGTGAGCATTTGGGTTATAATAAGTAATAAATGCTATATTGTGCGAAGCTTGTCAAACTGTTCAGTTAGCGCCATGCTTCCGACTCTCACAAAATTTTGGACTTCTTTGGACGGGTGTTACTCATGGATCAACTTATTCTTCAGTTAGATTTAGCGCTACAAGACAAATCCGGGCCTAGGAGTTACCTCAGATCAAAAGTTGAGGAAGGATGACAAGATGAGTCAGCGAAGTCAGGAATCAATCCTAGGGAGGTGCTGTATTTGGTGAAGTGAAGCTGTCAGCATCACAAACCCGCGCTTACTTAGCCTAACCTTTTCTACGAGCGGCTAGGATTTGTAAGTACCGATTTGTAAGTACTCACTCCCACTAAGGCGTTCAAACTTTCCCTTTGAGTCATCATTTATGAATGCCATAGTGCGCGTCAAGCATTAGTACGGATAAATTTATGATATCTTGAAATATATGAATTCACTAATTATCATATTATGAGTATGAAGGCATTTATTGTGTCCAACATGACTGAGAGAATAAATCTAATTTTATCAATTTATTTATTCACTTATTTATTTATTTACTGATGTCTGTATAAGCTCAAAATGTGTAACAGTTCAACATACATCCAGGAAAAGGCCATTCCTCCCCCCCCCCCCACTCTTTTGCCCAATCAATGGTGACTTTGCGTCACTTCCTGGCTGACACGAGCTTTTTACAGAAAAAACTCCATAAAAGTCAAATTCTTAGCGATCATACATCGATACGATCTGAACCGCCGACGCGCGCTGAATTGACACTGGTGGTCACTAACGAGTTTTACTGCGTACCCATACGAGGTGATAGAAATAGTAAAGAGAGACGCAGAATCCCTAGAAAGAAAATACGATCAAATTTTTTGTCCGAAGAATCATTCGAACAATTGTTTAAGAAAATTTGAACAAAATCCCTGGCCATGTAGGGAAATGATGACTGGGATGAGCTACTTTACTCACTTATAAAAAAAACGATCGTCGGGAAATCCCAAAATTGATGGCAATTTTCGAGTAAAAAAAACTGCTGTTTTTAAAGTCTCTCACCAACCTTGAATGTAAAAAAAATCGTCTGAAATGGGAATCCTGTAAAAAGTTCTCACAAACAAGACACGTCCCATCTCAGACAATCTAAGGCGCATATAGTAAAGAAGGTCATGTCTTCCTAGGTGGCATTGTAAATCATCCGTTACTTTCCAACTGTGTATTGCTACCAGTTGCGACAACTTTCTATAGGCAAGAACAATAGAAAACCGGGAAAATCACCACTTGGGGTTATTATATTGTGGCTTAGCCTTGAGCAATGGGCTTTACGACGGTCTCCCGTAAAAGTCCGGCTTTTTTAAGTTGCCATAAATCTGAGGTTTCTACCGCGGACACATGGTACAAGTAAAGGATTAACTGCAGTTTGTATACACCGGACATCCCTCTGAGCGTCGCGTCAAAGGTAAACTATCGGCGAAGGCCGGCGTCGCCAGCGCGCCGCTTGCGGTTGGGATTGCTTTTTGAAACGCCATATATCAACATATCCTGGTTGGACTATTGCTCGGTCTAATCTGCTTTTTACCTCTTTTGGCAAGAAACTCGCGCAAATCTCGTCGGCGATGATGAGGACCCACCACACCTAATTACAGAACAGGACTAATCGATAATCGATTGGAGCGGAAATGCTACCGTAGGCCTACGCAACTACTTACAAGTGCCCTACGTTGTAAGCCTTTCCCGTGCACGGGTTTCTTGATCAGGGTCCACCCATCTTGGACGAAGTAGCGCCTCGGAACCAAAATAGGTAGAACAAGTAGAACAGCAGCTGCTTGAGGAGTTCGTTGTATAGATAGGGGCCGCATTCAAAGTCCTACAGCTTCGAATGAAAGTCAGGGGCGTGGTGCATCCTGAAGGGAGTGGTCAACGCTAGAAGCGTGAATTTTTTCCCCATTTTCAAGGTTCCATAATCTCGTTATGACTGAAGATCAGATAGTAAATGATTCAAGGCAATCATTCAAAATAGTAATGTCTTATCATTTCACTTCTGACCTCTATGGGTGTGATATGACGGAACGGGATAGTTCAGCGATCAAATGTATGACTGTAGGAAAGAGGCAGGGTAATGGGTGGGTGAAGGAGAAACCTATCAAATATGTTTAAGCCGAAGATTGAGTGAAAGGTTTATGAGCACCTGATGACTGGATTAAGATTTGACTTATCAAAACAGGTCAGTTCCCTTTATCAGACGCATGGTACTCTTTATAAGCCTCCCGATGCAGATGTGACCTCTGTTAGACTGAAGCTTTGGTGATCTTCACCTTTTTTGAACCTTTCAAGGAGTTTGGAACGTGTCCTTAAGCCCTTATAGCCTCAGTTTCCTCTATCTCCTGATGAGGTGTCACTTGGATAACTTATCATAATCAAAGCCTCTAATAGACGTTCTTGTTGCCGGTCCCTAAGGCACTAACTGTAAGAGGAGCAGGGTTTGTACGCCCGAGGGCCCATCATGAGGAAATGACTGCTTGTGATTTCTTGCTTAGCTTTTTCTTTTGTACTACAGGCTCTCCCCCTTCTCGTTCACCTCCCTCCCGTCGCCTCCCCGACCGCCCTCGTCTCCAGTGCACCTCTTCGACTTTGACCCCAACCTGCTCGGCATGGGAAAGTTCTGATGGGATTTCTGAAATTCCTTCAAAACCTCATTCCATCTTTATCACATGTACATATCCATAGTCTGCCAGATTTGACCATGAAGTGAACGTTCATGGGCATGTGATTGATATGGGCAATGGAATCACGTGTATTGTGTAATGTACGACAACGGCAGCTCGAAGCGTAGGTAATCAACTGCCATACCAGGTGTGGGAATCGTTTGGTGTCCTCGAAGGCCCACACGAACCACTCACTCTTTCCCCATGGCTAAATGGCACCTGGGCTATCCCAAAGAGTAGGAGTAGGATTGAGAATAGCGTTACACAATTCTCATTTCTTACTAGGGGTGCCAGGGGGATGGCGTAGGGACAGTTGGCGGCTTTTACGAAAGGCACGGTCTACGGAAAGCCTCAGACCAACTCTCGCCCAAGTTCTCGAGGCCATCCAATTATTGGGAGTTGGTGATATGTGGGAAGTCCCTGAATCTCTGAATGGTATAAGCACTTACTCAAGCATGGCCGGTTTGTCAGGTCACGGGAAGATGAATTCACCATCACCATAGTAGCCATGACTGCGACAGTAGTGAATAGCATGGCGCCCCAACAAAAGAGTGACTGTCCAATTCTTCAATGATTGATTAGAAAGTGCCACATTTTTTAAATCCAAGGAGGACCGTAGAATAGAATGATAGCGCTTCAGCCTGTGCAGTACTCACAAATGTTAACAAATAATCAAACCATCATTCCATTCTCATAGGCCAGTCTACCCAGTTCAATGATTTATTGGCGTCGGGAACTTAAGAAGAATACTTGCGGAAACATAAGGCAATATTCCATGCGCGCATTTTACCTGTGTTGCGAGCCGAGTGTTTTGTGACTTTAGGTGTTATTTGTGAAACTAATCGTCGATCCTTAGGATGATGAATTAAGCTATTTGAAAGCATAAATAAACATTTTGGTGGAACCAGCGTCTCACTTGAAGCAAATGGCTTTGATTATTTTGACGTATGGCACAAAAGGCCGTCCATCACCACGTCCCACCTTAGTAATGCCTGATCTCGAAACAATGAAGCACGGTACCCTTCTAAGAAAAAAAAAAAAAAAAAAAAAAAAAAAAAAAAAAAAAAAACATATTTCGACGTATCACACAAAAATGCCTTCCATGGGTGAAAGGCGTATCAGAGAAGTGGTAGCCGAAGAGAAGGTAGCCATAACCGAAACCGTGCCGCTGCAAAAATGTGACCATAAGTTTAAATCCAAAATGCCTGAATTAATCAGTGAAACCCATCAAACTTAACTTTTGGAAATATAGTAGAACCATTTTGAAAAGAAAACCGAATACATAGCGTACTCATTGGTCAACACCGATTGACCGATCATTGGTCAACCAGTATTCACTCACTCTTCTTTTTACCATACAGCTCATCTTGCTGAAAAATCGCTTTGTTCAGGGACGCCCAAATAGGAATGGTTGCACTTTGCCGAATGGTCAGCCCTACTTGATGGCTTTACGAAAGGAGTACAGAATGATGACAGACAACGAAAGGAACAGGTAAGAGTGATCGTTTTCCTGAGGTGCGTGAGCGATATTCCATAGAAAGTCAAAAGAAGCCTCAAATGTAGCACAGGTGTGTGACATAAGGTCCAAGTTTTGACCATTCACATCCGCTAAATGGTGTGGGGACGAGCCATATATCGGCAACCAGGCGTAAGCGTGATGGAATGGAATTGCTCTCGCACTCTCAATTTAGCTCTTAGTTAGAATTAGTTCTTCCTTCTTGCATAAAGTGGTCAATTATTCATGGAATGAGTCTATTTTTGTCCATAATACCGTCACCTTACATGCTGGTCTTATTTTGGCTTGAACATCTGTAATCGTCTGAATGTTGGGCCTGCCCACCTCTTTTATTTACGGGGTGCTAGCACAAATAGCGCCGGGGTTCGAGGTTGACCGTATACGACCGAGAAAGGAAACTGGAGTAGATCAAGGTTGTTCCTCACTGCATTCCTATTGTGTTGCCATGTGTGCAAGTCCGCAAGTAGACAGCGAATTACTGCCTCCGATGGCTCGTAAATGCCCTTGACTAACACCTTCAAATATGTCGAGTCGCATTCCTTCCTTTCGTCAATTCGCTTTTCCCTCCGCCAATTACTACAATGGCTGCAGTTTTTCGAAGGCTATCACTCAGGGACGTTCACCTGGCGCGCTTGCTGTGACTAACTGAACTTGAAAAATTTGCTTAGCCTTATAAACCGTTATTAGAGGGTAAGGCTCGAAGAGCAAATGCTACAGCGTCATGCAGGCCCTTTTGACGCCTCCTATTAATACCGCATCCTCACAGAGTGGCTACATACAATGAA